TGTTTTGTGTACCTGTGTAATTAAAGTCATAATTTTATATTTAGAATATAAAAGTATTTTTTTCTTTAAATTTTTTCTCTTAATGCAAAATATTATTTAACAGTGTAAATTAAACAATCTACAGATGGAAAACAAGTTTGTTACCACTGTTAAGGAATGTTTCAAATTGTAATTTTTACCTCTCTCTTTATAATTAACTTTATACCATTTGTTAATAACCTTTTAACTAGCACATAAAATTATTTGCAGCAATTAAGTGAAAATGGTATTGAATTGCAAATACACCATGCACTATTTTTTTTATTTTTCGTTAGCAAATAAACTTCACACTATTCAGTGCACACATAATTGACACAGACACAGGACCGTAATTTGTCAAATTATACACAAAACATATTTCTACTACTGTTTATGAAGTGGAAGATATTAATTATTGTCAGTTTCTCTTGAAACCTTTAATTTTTGATTAAATTTTTGAATCCGCTTTGTTATGTTGTTTAATAATTCGCAATATTAGCACATTCGCATATTAACAATATTTCGTTAAAGAATTATCACAAGTATTTTAAAATCAAGGACGTACCTAAAATAATCTGTTCAGTTTTGACAACACTGTTAATAAATTCGTTTAATTTATCATACTATTTTTTGATACGAACAAATCTACTAATCAAAAATAAACGCAACAATGAATTCGGACAAGTGGTCAAAATAGACGACAACATTTATCATAAACATTATTTTCCTTCCAGAAAACACATGAAATCCTGCACTATTTATTTGAAATTTTATTGAAATTTTAATTTTGAAGTGAATGCGATAGTGTCAGTAAGCAGTTATTAAGTTACAGATTTGAACTCATTGTCAGTATGGAAATCTGTCCATCGGGAACTCCTAAGAAAGAGATAGTGTGGAGTGGTGGTAGATGTAGGAGTTGTAGGTAGATGATGAAAAGAGATTCATGATGACCAAAGATGACGATCTTTCTCCTTACCTCTCCAATCTCTGGTTATTGCTGTAACCTCCATCGTGGATCTCTTCTTCACTATCGCCCTCTGATCATTGCGGACAGCACCATTCCTTCGGGCATTTCTTCAGCTATTATCCTTTACATCTACGAGCACCATCTCTATTTGTTTGGAGTTTCTAACGGGTAGGTTATCACAGTGAATTCAAATCTCTGCAACTAACTACTTTAATAGAAACAGTTTCTCTTTTCGTCCCTCTTAAATTTATCAACAGAACAGAAAAATCTTATTAAATCAAACTTGACTGATATGTTAACTACGGTAATGATAAATTTTACTAAATTTATTTTATTTAATTTACTAAATTTTACTATATAAAAAAACTTCGGTGGACATACCCAATACCAATTGATTTGTTAATGTCAAAGCTACGAACCATCAAAGTGAAAATAATACCAGCACATTTTAACAACCACATACATACCTACGTATGTAATAATTTCCAGTCAAGGATTATTTTCATTGTCACAAAATAATTACAAGTATGATTAAAGACTGAATTATGAGATAAACAGAGGAATGTTTACGCCGGTCGTTATAATAAGAGTACCACAAAGTATATTAGGTTTTTTGTATCATATTTCGAAACGAAGGGAAATGGGTTCTGTGACATAACCGTAGAAGGTCTTTCGTTACCTAGTCCGTGCCAAAGTTAAACGCGTTCAATTCTCGCATTGACGCGTGTCCGTGGCTACCAACGAATTTCTCATATAAAAAGAAAATTTAGATTGGCTGGCTTTTATTCGTTATTTTACAAGCAAATTAACCATGTTTAAGAGAGTGGTAAGTGCAACTATAATTAGATATCTAACTGAAGTGTAAAAAAAGTGATTTCGCAATTTTTTTCAATGGTGAGGTGAGATCAAATGTATGCAGCTGATGAGACCGACAGGTTTTTTTTAATGTTTGGCTATAAACGTCACAATGTCACCAAAGTTACTTCCGGAGGAAGTGGCATTATTTTGTACTATTGAACGGGTCACCCTGTATGTAAACAAAGAATTAACAAAATCAAGATAATTCATCCATTTAATTCGAATAACTTTAATACTTCCGATGAAAATTATGTTTGTTTAAAACAGCATATTATATCCGAGAGATTAAAAACCATTCTAGCCCTGAGCTACCGGGTGTATGGTAAAAAACGTAGAAATTTGTAACTTCGTCATGTCTGGTGCGAAAAACAAATTGGCATGTATATTTTTTTCAAGGTCTACTTTAATGATAGATGATCGTGAATTGTTTTTTTTTATGAAACGGTATTATTATTGTACTTAATATAATAAAGATTTTTCTCTTGAATCCAACTACATATTATAACTTGACTTGCCATTGCACTGAATAATAATATTGTTTTTATTAATATACCTACTAAATTTAATGTAGAAGCTTCAAGGCAGAAATATACAAATATTGTCATGTATGATAATACATGTTTCTACCTTAAGCGACATTTATCTCTATAATTATTTGATTTTTTATGGCACATCTGACAATTTAATAGCACTCAAATTAATGTTAATAAGTATTTCATATAGGTACCTACTTTTTTCGTATATTTTGGCAAAAGTTGAGGCAAATATTAAGTTGTCCTATATCAGAGTCACCTGTCATTAAATAGACATTATAAAAGTGATAATTAACGTTAATCTTTTGTTTTTTAAAATCGGACAAAAAATGGTGGAATTAGGAGCTTGTGACGTTTATTACGAAATACCCAGTACATATATTCGATATTTTTTGCACGAGTGCCCGAGTCAACCAAAGTTAATCGTTAATTTAAATAAAATGCTGATTTGACATCACTGTTAGATTAAATTAGCAACCATTTATTTGAATTGCTTTATAAAAGTTCGTTTATTATTGTAAAATACGACCTTTTTGAAATGTTTATTAAAAAATTAAGAGAATTTTGCACGTATACATGGTCTTGTAATAACGTTTCTATATTTTTCCTTTGTTTACATCTACAAATCTTCTTTTGCATGTCAACTGACAGTGATTTGTATCAAAGTTTACCTAGTTTAAAAGTTGTTGATATAGCATCCTAATCAAAGGACAATTTGTTGACGTTTATAAAAAGAAGAACATTCTTCAAATTGACTGACAGACAAATACAATATTTTCTGCCATTCTATTTTGGTATATCAACAAATTTAATACCCAGCACTGGTACACAGTTATTTTATAAGATTTAATTTCGTTTTATGCTAACCATCTATTTTGCAGATGTCGTACTAAATATTTTAACACAAGCATATTTCTGATTTCCTGATTTCAACTAAACTATGTAATGTGTTTCGAAAGATATATCTACAGTTCTATACATTTTAAGTATCATTAAGTACATTATTAAGTATCAGTAAATACTTTCAATTGTATTGTGTAAAATTTCATAAAAAACTGTACCTATAAGAAAACGTATAGCAATATTAGAAAGTACTAATTTAAAAAAGTGAACATAATTTATCAAATCAAATCTTGCATATATTGAAAGTCGAGTAATTATTACTAATAATGGCCATATACTCCACGTTTGATATAAAGAAAATCGTTTGAGTTTGAAAGTAAATTTGAATATAGTCGTCAAATTCCAAAAGTTACATTATGTGTTTGTGTAGACTATATTCGTCAAGTTCTTTTGATGATATGAAAACAAAACGAAAACAGCTCCGTCGCTATCTCTGAGACTTTTTACTTTTTGGATAATGTTTATGGAATTTCTTCCCTAATTTGATTGATCACATTCATTTTTAATGTATGGTTTCCGTGTATTTTTTCCACAGTTCCTATTCCTTTAATAACGATTTCATAAACAGCTTTCTCATCACTTTTATAGATATAATTCTATAAGTACTTCAACCTTATAAGCGATTTGTCATACATTTTCTAAATTTTCATCTTGATATGTATTTAAAGCGAAACTCCGCCACAGAATGAGCAAATAGGAATCTTCAAGTGGAAATTTTGTCATGATTTGAGTATTTGACATAAAATTATAAATTAATAAGGTTTGTGACGTCACAATTTCACAAATATTTATTACATCAAAAAATCTTTTTTTTCGATATCACTTTCCGTTCAAAAGTTATGATGAATGATGTATAGAAGAAAACAATGGCCCGATCAAATTTATTCACTAATTTTATTAACGTTGCCACAGAAAAAAAGATAATCGTAATATCTTTTGAATGAGAAAAGTTTTGGAGAAACAAAAATTTTTTATGAAAATATATTTATGAATTTGCAAAAATAAGTTTAATGATGTCACACCCCAGGCGGCGATAAACTTACAAAGATGGAATATTAACCACCCATAACATTTTGCCATAAAAATCCGCGTTTGCGATTTCCTATTTGCTCTTTGCATTTTCCTGTAATGGCGGCCAACCATCAGTTCTGGGTCACCCTGTAATATACACTTGGTGTTTTAGAAGAAGATACCAAGATAGAACATCGAAAAGTAAGACGATTTCGTTCTGTCACCTTCTCTATTTGAGATAGATTCTAGATCAAGTACGATTTTCTTTTAGTTAACTTTTAGCCTTATTGTTTCAGGAAATAATATATATGTTGAAATTTGGTACACATGAGTTTTTTTAATGTGCTACGGGTCACTCGTACCACCTTACTTAGTGACATTTTATACTCTGTAATATGAAGAGAGAGAAAGTAAAAATAAATATGCCACAAAATAAACTAATTTAGATCAAGTCACCTATTGTTAGTACAATTTTACAAACTTGAAAATTTATGTTGTTATGAAGTAGCACATACCTACTTATAATTTATATTACATACGACGTGTGTTCAATTGAAATACATCTTTGATCTACAAAAGTTTATTCACAAATATAATCACAATAATTACCATCAAAATTGAGACACCCATCCCATTGTTCCGCCAGCCAATGAATTATTGCGGTTGCTGATTGAAAAATGACAGCATTTTGTACTTCTGCGCCTTTTCAGTGATTCAACAATATGGAATATACAAGGCAGCAGGTTTGAGCTACAGGGTAAATGCTCTAAAATCCTCCATTCCTTTTGTTGAATATTTTATATTACAAATTCAATCACTATAGTGAAGGAGAAGCCTGCACAAGAATCTGCTTTAAACTTCTTTGGAATGAACAACAACTTAGATGGTTCAAAATAATAACACCATCATTGATTAGCAGGAGAGAGTCATTACCATTTTCTCTGTACTCCACGATCACAATCATTTTTGGACCTCAGACAAATACGGGGATCCCATGGCAGCAAACTTAGCTGTAATGAAATTTGTGTACAATTCTAAAGACGCATCCTGCACTCTCATTTTCTGAAACTGCTCTAATTGCCGATTTTCTGTAATGATGCACACGTCATATTGATATCTGTAGACGCAATGCACAGTTCATCTTTGGTCCCCTCTTTTCTATCCTTAAATTTTCAGCACCATTACATACCCGCTCTTCCATACACTGTTTGCATGAATTTGCAGTGGTTGCAAACCGTCAGCGTACAAAAACCGTTTGACACCACGCTGATCAAACTTGGATGGATTTTGGACAACAAATGCCATTCCCAAGTCACAATGTCCCAGATCACTATCAAATATACGGACAGCAACTGATCAATGTGGCAGTTATAGACTCTACTAATGTTATAAAGCGTCAGTTGAACGATTACAAAATTAGCATTGGTTTTAATAAAGATAAATCTTTATACTTTTTTGATGTTCCATAATTCCTTAAACCTGTGTACCTTTTCTAAACCACCCTGTCTAAGATATCTAGTTTTATCTCCATATACATATATAACATATCACTACTTTTACAGACCCTAACGGCTTGCCTCTTGTCTTTAACCAATGGAGCGTACCAAGAACCCTCAGTAGGAGGCAAGTCCGCCGCCCGTTACCCAGCCGGACTGGACCCCAAGAGTTGTCCCAACTTCCCCGTATGCACCAACTACGGCGTGTCTTCCGTTAAAGGCTTCGAGGAGCGACGTCGACTTCAAACATCTTCCTCATATCAAGAAACACAAACTTTTCAACCTAAACAACCAATTTATCAACTCAGATACACGGCAACCCCCATTGTCCAACAGCAAAAATACTCCCAACCCGAGTACGAGTACGTGCCAAGTTCTGCCCGGACTCAACAGTACAACCCACCTGCTCCATCTAAACAACAATATGTAGCAGCACAACAGGATAGCGATCGTCCACAGTACGCTCCTCCTCAACGGTACAACTCTCGTCAACAGTATGCCTCTCCTCAACCATTTACCCCTTCCCAACAGTTTGCCCCTCGTCAACAGCACGCTGCTCCTCAAAAATATGCTCCTCCTCAACAAAGTGCCAAGTCTTCCAGAGAGGACCAGTACACACCTGAGCAGAGAAGAGCCTTGGACAGAGGAGAATACATCGGGGATGGTGATTACCACGGCGAAGGTCTAGATGAAGCTGAATATCACCCAGGTAAATTCGTTTGTTTAAAATATCAGATAAATAACAATTGTACACTTTTAACGTTTTTAGCTGATTTCTTATTGTAAAGTTTATTCCATTCCATTTCAATTCAAATTGCTAAGGAATGCGGTTATAGTTTAAAACAATAAAAAAGGTACATTTTAAACACTATTTAAACACCAATTATTTCATTAAACTGTTACATACAGGGTGCCCAAATGAAAATGAAACAGAGCCATTTTCAGGAACTGCGTCAAGATTGTAGAAAAACGCTCAGACGCTCAGACCCGTCGATTTTAGATTAAAGGGGGACATTCTTTGCTGGTATTTTTGACTCCGCCACTTTCACCCCCCAAGCAAGGGTAAGCATCACCCCAAAATATTTAAATGGCATTGGGCGTTGAGTAATATTTCTTTTAAAAGCTCTTACAATTCTCTTTACAGCAGACTTTAAATTTTATAATTCTTCCCAATACTTATTAAGAATTTTGATTTTAAAATTGAAACTTATGTACAAACAATTAGTAACGGTAAAAATGTCAGTCATTCGAGTTAAGTACGCCAATGGTATAAATTTAGTATTTCTTGCGTTACGTCGGTTTTTGACGATTTGTTATCACTTTCGTAAAAAAAACAGAAATGAATGCTATACACACACAATGAACGTAAAATTAGTGGATTCCAAATTATTTTCTAGTATTATTTGGAAGCGTTGGTTGGTAGTTTATTTAATTGTGTTTTTGAAAATTAAACACTATGGTTTATTCCATTGCGGAAAGGGTAGATATCATTTCGCTTTACTTTATGAACAATAAATGTGCGAATAGAACAGCTCAGCTATTTAATGAACAACATCAAGATCGACATGTCAGGAGGAAGTATGTTCTAGAGTTAGTAAAAAAATTTCAAGAGACAGGGAACGTAGCCAATAAAAAACGAGAAATTGAAAAACCTATAGTTAATGAAGCTAGTGAAGTTGCAGTTTTGGGACAAGTTCATCTTGATCCTACATTAAGTACGAGGCAGCTGGCATCTGTGTCTGGGATCAATCGAACTAGCATACAAACCATTTTGAAGAAGAATAAATTCCATCCATACAAAATACATTTAGTCCAGGAACTTCATGAGGATGATTATGACCGCCGTTTGCAATTTTGCGAAATAATGAGTGAGCGAGCAGGGAACGATCCACAGTTCCTTTTTAACATCTGTTTTTCTGATGAATGCAGTTTTTTCTTGAACGGGACGGTAAATCGTCACAATTGCCGCTATTGGTCCGATTCAAACCCAAGAGTTTTTCACGAGGTGCATACACAGCAACCGGAAAAATTAAATGTATGGGCTGGAATTTTCGGTGACCGGCTGGTGGGTCCTTTTTTTCTACCTGGTAATTTGACTGGCCAAATGTATTTGCAATTACTGGAAGACGCTATTTACCCTGCCTTGACTGATATTATTGAAAATGTTCCAGAGTATGATGAAGACCATTTGATTTTTCAACAGGACGGTGCTCCTCCGCATTATGCCTTATTGTCCGTCAGTATTTGGACCAACGTTTTCTACAGAATTGGATTGAGAGAAGAGGCAGCATTGAGTGACGATCACCGGATTTATCGCCTCTTGATTTCTTTTTGTGGGGATAACTAAAAAGTAAATCTATAAAACACAGCCAGCGTCGCTGGAAGATTTGCGTCAAAGAATCGTCGACGACTGCCGTCGAATCACTCCGAAAATGCTTCGGAATGTGCGCGAACGTTCGAACAAAATCTTTATTCTTGTATGTATACGGGCGGTCATCAGTTTGAACATTTAATCAACTAAGTAGTAAGTAATTAACTAAACATAATTTAAATTTTAAAATGTAAAATTTTTTCAAAGTATTGGGCGGAATTATAAAATTTAAAGTCTGTTGTAAAGAGAATTGTAAGAGCTTTCAAAAGAAATATTACTCAACCCCCAATGCCATTTAAATATTTTGGGGTGATGCTTACCCTTATTTGGGGGTGAAAGTGGCGGAGTTAAAAATACCAGCAAAGAATGTCCCCCTTTAATCTAAAATCGACGGGTCTGAGCGTTTTTCTACAATGTTGACGCAGTTCCTCAAAATGGCTCTGTTTCGTTTTCATTTGGCCACCCTGTATAAATTTAGTTCACATGAATAGTAATGACGTTCGACCAACTAAGTTTATACTAACATATTAAATTCGAATATAGTTATTACTATCAAATATACTTATTACCATCAAATACACAGGGTCACCACGCAAAAATATAATACTATAATTGTAATTTCGTTGTCCTTGATGATATTGGAAAAGCAAAATATGATTTTTCTACGACGGATTCATTTATTTCATAAAAAAAATAAATAGAATTGAGAATAGCACAAATTGCACAATATATTTTTTGTATGGTTACACTTTTTGTCCACAGAAATTGCTATTTACCGTTTAAAATATTTTTTTTAAGTAGAATTTTTTTTCTCTATTTTGGAGTACGGTATTTTCCAAATAATCATCACTTAACAAATAATTGTGTAAGTATTTTTTTACTGGAGTATTTTTAATATGAGAATAACTGTTAATTTAACATAAACAGACATTTGTTTGAGTCGTGAAACATAAGTTGAACTGTGCAGAAGAAATTTTTTCGTCATATTCATGTCACTGTGGTAGAATTATGTAACTTTTTTTCGTGTTTTAAGTCTCATGAGAAATTATCTAATTTACGCGCAGTAAGTGGTGAGGAAATTCGTGTTTTGAACAGCAGCTGTAGAAAAAAATAATTTTCAAACATTTATTTAACCGCATCAATGGTGTACGGGGGGATATGTGACTCTTGTTGAAAATATTTTTTTTGCCTTAAATATTATTCGTGGGATAGACACGAATTTTGTTATTTGCCTGAATAGATCCACAAACGGAGAAAATACACACACCCCCGTACGCGCCACTTATGCAGGAAATGAGATGTTTGAAGAATATTTTTATTGCTTCATTTATGTATATAACATGCACCAAATTTGAATCGAATACCTTACATATGTACTGAAGTATTGACTTTAACTTTAACTTTCAAATTATCCAAGATTAAAGTAAGTTGTCTTAAATTCAATTGTTTTTAACGGAACTGTTGTTTCTGTATGACTACCGTTTTCTGAGACATCCTGTATATCATTAGAATGCGATGGTAAACTGTTCTTTTTTATAAAACAAATGAATTAATCGTGAAAAATTAGTGAATAAAGATATCTTCAAGAACAAGGAAGTGACAGTCAAATACACCACATTCTCGTGTTAACATCATTGAATAAGCTAGTTCCACTTATATAACACATTTGGATGCTAAAAGAATTAAATGTTTTCCACATTGTCATGTCATATTAATTAATTCAGGATTCCCAAGAATAATATACGTGTATATACCCACCAACATCAGATTTATTAAGAAAGAGAGAAATGATCACAGTAAAGGGGTTGGCACTATTAAAGAAGAAAAAGAACATCACAGTACAGCGGTAGATACTGTTAACATCGAGAAAGAAAACGAAATAAATAACAATAACTTAAAAACCGAACCCAGAAACCAAACAGAAGAAGTTCAAACTAGGATTGAGACAGCAAAAAATGACCTAATGAAAATGAGACCCCTCCTGTGCAACAAAAACGTCAGCATTGAATTAAGAACACGTATGGTGAAATATTACGTCTCCACTACGCTTTTCCACGGGATGGAAAATCGAACGTTGACAAAAGACGACATGCACGAGCTTGAAGCATTTGAGGAATGGATATACAAGAAAATTTTTAACATTTCTTGGACTGAAAAGATACATAACGTCGAAATATTTGATAGTATGGGAGAAGGACTAGAAGTAACGAAAACAGTAAAAACCATAGAAACCCGTTGCCAATGTTACGTCTATCATCGCATAGGTACCAAACATTTCATGGTAGACATTGCCATGAACGATAAGATGCAGGGCCGAGTGAGAATTGCGGGCAAGAGGAAAACATCCTGGTTACGAAACTTGAGGGAAATGTTCGGGTGTACATCGATAGAATTGTATATGGAAGATGAAACGTCAAAAACTGACTAAAGTGAAAATGTATTGTACCATACTAAATGAAAATAAACAATCTAGTAACATGACCACTATTTATCCGATTATTTCTTTTAATCGTATGTACATAAATGACTGATATCGACATTTTTATAGTTTCTCAATTTACTGACAATGAGAAAACAGACAAGAGGTAGCTAAGATACGTGGGATTCGATTTTCGAGAAAAAATGAATAATGAATACCTACCACATATTTATATTTTAATTTGTTTAAGGGGAAATCACATTTTCACTTTTGAGCGTTTTTTGTACTACTTTTTTATTTGGGAACTTTTATTTCTTTTTTTGTAAAAATTTTTATTATTCAGTTCTTTGCATAGAATCCAAAGGGATTCGCCGTAATTTTCTATTCTTTCACTTCCAATTATTGAGATACAAATCAAATTTATTTTTCTTTAAGGAAAAAAGTGGCATAGACGTATTTCGTGTGTGAATGATAAAATTCCAATTTTCCTCGAAAACAGAGCTCGAGACATCTCAACTACCTTACGTTTATCTCTTCCAGAAATATGAAAAATCTCTCGAAATTGTCGATATTAGCGCAGACTGTATATACAGTAGGTCATCGGACGATATAATGGCCTTGGAACAAATTTGGAACATATGTTTGGAAAAATAGTATCTACTTAATACATTTTTATATCAATGTCTAAGTAACATATTGAACTGACTTGTTAGGTTGTCATATATGAAGGTTGTGACCTTTAGTTAATACGAACATGCTTTTTTAATTATTAACTTTAATTGAAATTAAATGGAAAAAGCATGCCGCAGGAGAGATAAATTATAATTATTATTCATTTCTTAAGGACATATAACGTAAAGTCAAATCAAAATTGTTAGATGAAAAAATATTATGAATATCAATTCGTCTCTCAGTCTCGTTTGAGGTTATTGAGTATTTTTAAAATACATATAAAATTCACGGTAGAAACTTTTCGCAATTCACTACAAATTGTTTAAAATAATACGATTTTCGAAACTTTCGTTTTAGTTCTTTAAAAAAAAAACTTAATGTTAAAGCATTTCATTAAAAAAAAAGCTATATGTGGACTGACAATATTGTTACTGATTTAATTCACCTAAACTTATTATTATACCGGAAATACAAATGTACCTATATAAAATTTGAAAATAAAACTTGCGGTAAGATTACTCTACATGTGCCTAATCTTTGAAATACTTTCACGTATTTTGGACGAATATTTATATAAGAAATATTATTCAAGGTCACTTAAATATACTGTAATCTAAAGCGTCAAATAATCTTTGAGTTGTAGTGTGAGGACCACCTTAGGCTGAAAAATCGTGAAACGGAAGTAGTGAAGAAAACCAGTGAGAAGCTGAATAATTTAGAACTGAAAATTATGGGCATTTACATTTCCAGACATTATAGAAAAATAGGAAAAGTCAAAATTCCCGCGCAAGCTTGTTTTTTTTAATATTTACTGCTTTTTATTCCATTTGTACACAAAAACTACTTGCTTGATTTATTATATGAAATAATTCATTCATATTTATTCTAATATTTATACAGGACGTTTTAGAATTAACTGTCCAAACAAAAATTGTCGAAATAGTTTAATTTTCAAGAAATGGGGTCTTAAAATAAAAAAAGTTTCTAAAACATTTCTGAAGATGATTGACGGAAAATAATAAAACTTAGGCGAATGATTCATCTAATAAAAGGTAAAAATATGTTGAATTTGTAGATAAATATATCAACGAGATACTGAAAGCTAAGAATCCCATAAATTCAACGACATTTGATATTTTTTTTAATACTTCACCATTATTAAGTACTTCAATAGATCTAAATTAATTCTAGAAATATTCGTTTTACAAAATAGTTGTTAGAACTTTATTACTAAAACGTGGATCAATTACATTACATTTGCTGCACAATGTACATACACATCGAAAGAAAAAAATATTACCGGGCAATTTTTAAATTTTTTTTCAATGCTATGCTCCTGCTACCTCCAACAAATAGTAAAATTTATATGCCAATGATTTCTAAAGCCAAAACTATAAATAGTTCTCCCCTTATTTTAGATGCAATAAAATGCCTAATAATGAATTGATATAAATTAAAAAGATGTCGAAACTGAAATAAGATCCGTTTTTTTTTTTTTTCGTAGAAGAATAAAACTTTTTAGTAGTGACGTCACATACGCCAAATAATAGCAACCCCATAGTGCACATTGTCATGAAGAATTTCTCAATATTTTTATTAGATCGATTTTCGACCTTGTGTATTTTGGATATAAATTTCAAAAGTATGTCTTCTTTGTCATAACCTTAAATATCGCGATATTCTGGTAATATTAGAAATATTTAAGTTTCAAACCCCAAATAACAAACTAAAAGAATTATAGAATTTATACAGGGTGATTCAGAACTTATCCAAAAAAAAAATCTGTATGTACAGGGGATCCTTACAAATACAATTTTAAAAATAAAAAATCAAAAAGGGCAGTTCTAAAATTATTTAAAAAATACATTTCTGCACGGAACTGGAAACAGGTCCACTGTAAAACCTGAACTAGCACAATGCGACCGGCATGGCGGTGTGATAAAAACGGACAAAAACTTTCGCGAGGAAAGAAATAAATAGATTTTATAGCACCTATTTTGTATCGGCAAATTCAACTGCTTTTGCCTTTATTAATTAGTAAAATTAATTTGTGCTTTTAAATAATGAAATCATTTGACATACCCGATGTTACAACAACAATTGTTCAAAATTTTATCCACCAACGTGTAAACACATTTGGGTCCATCTTACTCAGTTTCTACGAACTAACACAAATGTTGTCTTGCTTCACCATAACACAAATGCTTCACCATAAATTAAAATGATATCTATCAACTCCAACTTGCTATACACGCAAACCATTTTTGACACTAGCTGCTAAAACACTATTGTAAACGCCACAGATAACAGGTAAACACAAGCGCAACGACGATTGCAAAATCGGATTTCAGTATTCGGAATCGCTGAGGCCACGTGGCTCTCCACGCGTATTGCGAATGACTCTAGAGACTACAGTTGTCCAGCTATGTAGTGGTTGAATGTACTATAACTTCAATAATTTTTTTCTCGAAAACTATAAGGATTTTACAAAAATTTTTTTTACGATATTAACTCCATTTCTCATGCCGCCATTTTTTGGATAAGTTGTGAATCACCCTGTATATTTAAATTTATAGAACAATATTGACTTTAATAGAAGTTAATAATTAAAAATAATTTCATGTAAGCGAAGTAGCCTCGCAACAGGATATCATTCAGGAAATGTTTGGTTATGGCTAAGAGTACGTCTATAATAAACCACTTGAAGAAAAAACACTCGATAAACACTCTATCACAGCACAACACCAAGAAAAATAATAAAAATATTTAGCAGAACTAGAAACTGCCAAGACTAAACGAAAAGAAGAAAAAATAAGCGATGACATATCAACAAGATCTCACCTGCGTATGAGGCTATTCTTTCCAAGCATGCGCATTAGGAATAACACGGCTAATGTTAAAATTTTACTTTATTTAAATACGAATATTCTTTTATATCGTTTCTTGTAAGTTTTAAGCACATTAGTGTATCTATTTTAAGAAACACGTGTTGGTTGTTCTTAAATACTTCTAAATCCTTGTAAAAATAGCTTAATTTAAAGTTGTTCATTTTTATAGTACACAAGGGTCAGATTCGGTCTGTAATTTTAACTACGACAATTTGTTGCGGGTTGCCTAAATATGCGACGTCACACTAAAAGGGTCTATTAAAAGCCATGAACACATTTTCAAAACATTCATTGGCATGGAATTTTCGGGGTTCTTACTAATAATGACTGGCTGTACTTCCACCACTGGTTGACATATTTATGAATTCAGCGATTTTTAGCTTTATAGATATATTCTTAGTCGAAGTTTCTCATCAGATTACGTCAAGCGTAGAAATATTTTAGAAAACCTGACTTTTTTAGAGCTCCACACCCTGCGTATCTTGATAATGAAGACTCCAGACTTTCCTTCATGGGACTCTTGCTTATATTGACAATTTAAACTCAAATTATAAATTAAATTCATTCTGAAACACGCTGCACATGTAAAATCTTGTGCGCACTATAAAACAAATGAACGATTATATTTCATAAACATTTAACTTTTCAATTATAAATATTTTCAAATATTTCAGAAGCTCCAAAAGTATCTGATGATAAATTACATACCTAATATTATTTATTTATTTTATATCCATTGAAACAAAGACATACGTAAATGATATATTTATTCTAGGTCAACAACAATCCTACCGGACTGCTGCTGCTACTCCAAGTGTCCAATATGACACTCCCGCTTATCAGAAGGTCTCCGCGTTTCTTGCACAATCCCAGAACGTCCGCCAAACACCTACGAACGATTGCCGGAACCACGCCTATTGCTAAAATCTAAATCGCACTGAACTCAACGAACCTGTAAATATTGTTATATATTTTATATATATATTTTGTTACAAAATAAAAAATGACCTATTCGAAATAGTTTCCTTAATCCCTAAAGCTTGTTGTCAGTACATAGGTATTCGTGGAATATAAGTACTCAATGCATTTTTCACCAAATTTATAATTTCCAGAAGAACAAATAATTTCTAATGAACTCAAAATCTTCACCCACACCACCGTATTGTTTTAAATTATCTATATGTTTTAATTGATGCTTTATTTATTTATTTATTTATTTACAATTGAAGAATAAGAATATCCACGAATATGACAACAAATGATCATATTATATAAACTAACAAATGGATAACTGCATGTGATAGAAATTAAACAATACAAACATTAGAAAAAAATAAGTAATTTAAAAGAAACGAAGAAAATAATACAAACGTTTACTTTGTTACACATCTGGATTCAACTATTTTTATGTTTTCGCCAATTTTTTCACTGCTGTTTTGAATTATAATAATAAATATAAATATTCCACATTCACTTGTAATTTTCTGTTAACATTGCACAAAAAGTTGTTGCTCTGCCCAAAAAATTATTTCCCTTTAAAATTAAAATAGGTATATTTGTTTCTAATCATTATGAATTTTGAGTTCACTTCTGGAGAATTGCAAAAAAAATTCAGTATTACAATAATATTTAATGATTTGAAATAATTCATGTGTAGCTGTAAATATCCTGTATAAAAGGTACCAATATTTTGCGGAAAATAAAAAACATCGCACAAAAAAGTTGAAGGTCGCAAAGTCCAACAAATACGAAACAAATTTACCGGATCTTAGACTCAACTAAGGAATATGGCAGTAACAATAGTGTTAATATGTACAATGCGTTAATATACTTAAGCAGAGAATGTATAGTAAAAGAAAATTGTAATATAAAAACTGTATATAATAAAGCTACCTATATTTAACGGAAATTGTGATATGTTTAAAAAGCTAGAACTTGGATTATAATCAGATAATAGATTTAATGATATATCGTGCTAACGATATGCAAAACTTCATTGCTTTAATGCTCACGTATTGCTCTAAAGTATAATTTGCCCACTTATTTCTCTTTGTTTTTTAAATTATTAAACAATAAATTAGTAATTTTGCACGTGAAACCGAGAATTATCATTTATACGAAAAACCATGCAATGTACATGGAAATACCCAACCATAGTTTTTGTTTCCACAAATTATTAAGATTTTTTTTAATCCTCAGTCAGTTGCCCTGTTCTATTATATTTAATGTCATTTAATGATATTATTGCATTATTATATACTATACAGAGTGAGTCAGATTTAACAGCAAATCGTTGAGTGCGAGATAGAACATTTAAAAATAAACAGTATGTTTCATAGATACAGGATGTCAAAGTCAAGAAAAAATATAGGTTAAAAATATAGATTTATCATATTTTCTGAATAGACGGAGCTATTGAAAAGAAATTTAGTATAAAGAGTGGCCGCAGTAACATATAGCAATATCAAGTCTCCTATGCAGCCAGTGACGAGATATGAGTTCAATTAATTTAAAAAAGGGAAAAAAATAACATTTCAAAGATTTTTTTACTCTATTGAAATTTTTTCATATCTGTCACAGTTTCATGACAAATTGGATTTATTTCTCATTAAATTTAAAGGATTTATTACTGTCCTGCATTTATTGGCATTTAGTTAGGTATTTTCATTTAATTTTAAAAAATAAAACAAAAAAGGAAACTGTTCTGTCATTTAAACATTCTTCAATGTGCAAATTAATTTGGTTGTGAATCTTTCACAATCGGTATATATTAGGAGGCTTTATCAGATACGAAAACAGTACATACATACCATTAGTCAATCAATGAATAAACAGAATTAAAGCTGTTTTTGTAAGGTTGTCTAATTTATTGCATTTAGAACACTATATATTTACTATTAAAATCATTGTCGGTTGCTCTGAGTAATAACAATTTATAATATAAACATTAGACTGAGTCAAAAAAATCGACTATTTTTTTTTGAAAGATGTATCAAGAATATCATTCAGAATGAGGAACAAAAATATTGTGAGGTTTGAGCCCTTAATATTAGTTTTAAGAGATCATCATTAAGAGATCATCGCTAGTTTCGATTTTTTATTCCTGATCCCATTTTTGCGTCAAAACTGCTAAACCATAGAGGTAAAAAAATTTATCTGCATAAATTTTTTAAGGAAATTAAATGCCCTACAAAAAAGGTCTGATTGAAAAATTTCTACAGACGAGCTTTTTCCATGTAATCAAGCCTTGAAAATTGATATGTTTTTTCGATTTGACTTTTTAAATTTGGAATTTTATAAATAACGAAAAATTAATATCTGAGAAAGAACAATACAGATTTTCAAAAGAAATTTAATGCCCTAGAAAAAAGGTCTCTTAACATTTTTGCGTAAATCTACACCTCCAAAAGTTATTCACGATTGAAGCTGAAGTAAAAATTAAATTTTTGTTTTTTTTGGTTTTGGACCCAATTTTTTTCACTCAATGGAACAAATTGATATTATACATTATCGACAATTATTATTCTATCACCAAAAATATCCAAAATTCATAATATATTCAAATTCATTTTCGCTCAATAGCTATTTTTTCTACAAGAAAGTAGTTTTTCTATTTCAAAATAATTTTAAGAATAACAATCATGAATCAACTGAAGTATATTTATCTATAATATTATATTCATTAATATATACGAATTCGGGTCCATCAACTTTCCTCCCATTCCCTCTCTATTTGTTTTGCTTTTTCTCAACTTATTAAGCGTTATGACGAGTGAAAATACTCCCCCTTTTCCTTAATAACCGCATCATCTATTGCGAACGCCAACTGAGTGAAAATGACCTTGAATTGCTATAAAAAGTCGTTAATGTGATAAATTTTAATCTAATTAATAGTTAATTATAATGTTTTAATTGTAAAAGATATATGATTTCTTATGAAATATAAGCTATACAGAATAAAGATACAATGATTTTTTTCTGTATTTCATTGATACTACTATTTTATGAGCCATAATCTGATTTTTCATATGATATTGTATACATATTGAACGAGAATAAATTTGAATATATTATGAATTTTGGATATTTTTGGTGATTATATTTATAGAATAATAATTGTCGTTGATGTATAATATCAATTTGTTGAGTGAAAAAAACAATATCGTGAATAACTTTTGAAGGGGTAAATTTATGCAAAAATCTTAAGAGACCTTTTTTGTAAACCATTAAATTTCCTTTGAAAATATGTACTGTACTTTTTCAGATATTAATTTGTTCGTTATTTACAAAATTCGAAATATAAAAAGTCAAATTGTAAAAACATATCAATTTTCAAGGCTTGATTACATGAAAACGGCTCGTCTGCCAAAAAATTTCAATCAGACCATTTTTTGTAGGGCATTCAATTTCCTTTACAAATATAAGTAGATAAATTTTTTTAAATCGATGGTTTGGCAGTTTTGACGCTAAAATGGTATCAGGAATAAAAAATCGAAACTTGGGATGATAGACCTCTTAAAACTAATATTAAGGGCTCAAACTCTCACTATATATTTTTTTCGTCATTCTGAATGATATTCTCGATATATCTTTCAAAAAAAAATAGTCGATTTTTTTGGCGCAGTCTAATAAACATATCCTTTTAGAAAAATTTTGGAAACTATTGACGATATTCTCTAGTTTGTATAAAATGATAGATGGCATAAGAAAAACATTTTTTGCGATTTTCTCAAAAGAATTATATCATTTAGATTGCTCTAAGTTAGACCAGCAGGATAATCAAAACCTAATAAAGAAAATATCTACCTATGACTATTGTAGCTGATCCATCTGACACAGCAGTTTATTTATAAATATTTCGAACCTTCTCTTTCTGTCTTACCCATGCACCACCACCCTTTATAGTAATTTAATTATGACATTAGCTGCAAGTTTTACCACTGCACCCATAAATTGCAACAATTACTCCTAACCACAAACTTAATTACAATTCAGAACTCCACATTGTGCACAGATAGTCTTTTGATTAAAAATGTAAGACTCATTCCTCAAAAAAATAAAATAAACAAGCACAATGCTGTAATGTAAACAAACAAGCAAATAAAGCAATCCACCCAAACAACGTGTACGAACCCTTTACATGCTTTAGCCAATGCATTGGTCTTGTCGAGCACCACATTCTATACTAAATTAAAAGTTTTAAAATTCATGTCCTTGCCGGGCAAATTCTAAGGCAACGAAAAGGTCCCCTCGGAAACAATCAGATTGCGTCATAACTGGGCCGAAAAGCGGACAGATAAAAAAATTGCTTGCGTACGTAGGCAACTTCCTGCTCCCGTGCGTTTGAAAGCTTTCAGTGTTGATGTTCAAATTAGGATCACTTACCACTCGAAGAGTGTAAGTGTATCAAGACAGAATCGCCGAAACGTATAATTAGTGATTAAAGCGTAATGGAGCGTTCTGAAGGAGGCGTATCATTCGCCCTTGAATAAATCAGAAGTAATGTCTGTCTTAAGCTTACCGGCAAGCTTGAACGCTCCAAATACATTATGTAAAACGAGGTCGTATCAAATCAATTATGAAATTAGCCATATGAAGCTAGTACACGATAAAATTACCAAAATAACGCACATTCAAGGAAGAGAAGAATAGTATATTACATAACGAGCGTCGAAAGTTGCATTTAACATACGGGTGGGTGTGATATTTCACGCACGACGGATTAGTCGAATGCGTAAATCACGCAATTTTTTCCCATAACCCTCAACGTACGAAAAAAGAAAAACATTACTAAATATTTTACTTTTCTAAACACAAATTAATAACAATTTTTAATAAGAAGCTGTATAGAAATTATTATACATAATATTATATCGGGTTTTCAAAAAGTTTGAAACCCCCCCCTCTATCTCGGAAAATACTGCTCAATAAAAAAATGATTAGGACAAAAGGTGCAGGGTTTTGAGTGA